CTATCTATCTATCTATCTACACATACGTTTATTTATTCAAGTGTATATATTTTGAACGCTGTTTCAAAATATGGAAACGAGGCAGCTGCCGAAGATGGTGTGGCTCTTGCCAGAACCGCAGGTCCCTGCAGCGGCGATGAGGACCTCCAAGCTAATCTGGAAGCTCCACGACTTCGGAGGCAGGCTTGGGGTCTTCGGTTTAGGGTTCAGGGGCTTAGGGCGTCGGGTCTTGGGGTTTGAGGATTCGGGGCTTCGGATTTAGGGCTTCGGGTTTAGGGTTCGGGGTGTCGGTTCCCTTATAGTCCCCTTTTCGTCATAGTCTAGTGTACCACAAATCTCTATTCCAACTATGAATGTCCCCAGGGTTTCCGGGATTCGAGGGGTTCCTGGGTGCATGAAGGCATCGGGTATGCATCGGTTAGCCTGCAGCGCACGGGCTTTGGGGCTACGGCTACTAAGCCCGTACGTAGGTCTGAACGATGTCTGGTGATCCGGTTCCCCCGCATGGGCGACTATTGAGACTTGTGAAGTCTGAAATTCCGGGTCTGCAAGTCTTAGCCCTCGAGTGGCTCCTGGACATCCAGTAACCGGAATGACGAGCGCGGGGTCGGATCATCGCAAGATCACGAGGAAGGTAGAGGCACTTTTCGGAACTCACTACCGATACTACTGTGATTCTTGCTACGAAAACCGTGTACGCTCATGTCACCTCTTCAGAAGAAACCATTACCAGTCGCGAACCCTAAAAACTGAAGTCCTGAATCCTAAATCTCTAGCCTCAAACCGTAAGCTGTTAGCGGCCAAGATAGAAGTGCTCGGGTTTAGGATCCATGCTCAGATGTCTGCATCTGCTGTATCCCGCTTGAATAAATGCTGAGTCCTAAATCCTAAACCGGAAGTCCATCACAACCCGAAGGATCAACAAAAAGGGCAAACACCCCGAGGCAAATGCGTTGTAGCCATCGATCGCCGACTGCACAAGACCTTGCACCTGGAGCGACTCAGAGATGTCGAGCCTTACAGTAGACTACAATACACTGTGCTATACGATCAACTACAATACAATATGATATTCTATGATGTACTAGGATATGCTGTGATATGCTTGTGACATATTATGATATACTGCGATGTACAAAACTCTAAAGCTTGTGGGCCACCCTATCAAAACAGTACAGGGGCCTTAATAATTGCAGTCGGGCTTTGGGGTACATTGATTCTACTATACTTGCGAGCCCTCAGGAATACTGCAGGTAGTCATTTAGGCCCCTATCTTACCCTCAACCCTAGCAGCTAGGCCTCAGCAGCTCCAGGCAAGCTTAAACCTCCAAGCCCTCTGTTGGTTTGGACATGGGGTGAAGCAGGAGGCTGTAGCTGTCATCACGCCCCGGCAACGAAGTCGCGTGGTGCCACAAGGAATCTGAACTATGCCGTGTCTCCCCACGAAGCCTAAATCCACCAAAACTTTGAGAAAAAACTCCCAGCCCCGAACAAAACCCTCAACTTAGACCAGTGAGCCCCTCAACTCATCTCACCTTGACCTTCAACTCAACAGCCTCAAACCACCCCTTCAACCCGACACCCCTCAACGCTCAACTCCAAAACTGTCGAAACTCTTCAGCCCGGAAGCCTAAAACCCCCTTAACTCAAACCCCCCCCCCAGAAAAAACAAAACCACAAAACCCTAACCCCAAAGCCCTGGGCGCCCAACCTCTCCAAAGACCTCCTCCTGGCCGACTTTTGGGCCAAGCACACGGCCGTTGAAGCGGAACATGTTTGCGGCCTCCACGAGCAGCTAGGGGCACGGAGACGGTTTAGGGAGTTTAAGGTTTTAGGGATTTTGGGGTTTGGGGTTTAGGGTCTTGGGGTTTTGAGGTTAGGGTGTCCGGGGTTTGGGGTTAGGGTTTTGGGGGTTTGGGCTTTGGGTTTATGATTAAGAGGGTCTAGTCTAGTGTCTTGGGGTTGAGAGTTTGGGGTGCAGTTTAAGCTTGGGCTAATCAAGATGCGTGTAGCTGCCTGTGTCGCAATGAATGGTACTCGTATACGAAGAGACATAGCGGGATCGACCCTTGGAAGGGTTTGAAACCTTGCAGCTCGAAGAATGGTAGTTGAGGGATTGGGATCTCAAGGGCTAGGCTTGACGTGGCATCTCTTCCGGCATGATGTGCAGCCTGAGGTTTTCAAACTTCAGATCCTAGCGTCGTAGAAAAATTCTACGACTCCAGCATGATTGTGGTTCAGGCAAAACCAAAGAACCTTGTGAGTATTTCCACTTCACAGCTTGTCAGACGCCAAACTAGGACTTAACACAGCCTCGTCATCCGGAAACTCCCGTTACAGCACACAGCTCGATTCTAGCCCAAACGGTCCGAGCCTCGCAGTTCCGGAAGCCAAGGCCCTAAACCCAAGGCCCCGAAGTTGCGTTCACACTCCGTGGCAGCCCGGAGTTCCTTTAGGGTTTAGGGTTTAGGGTTAATGATCCTACGTCCGTCCCCTCTGCTAGGAACATCCAAAGACTGCACCGTAATCCCAACCTCTACATGCACACCGCAGAAACCAAGTAATTACAAATTTTTGGGCTTCCTTATGATGATTATCGTATGATACAGTTGTAATGGTTGAGGCCCCTATATTATTGGAGAGCTTGCTCTGGCCGCTGGCCTGTGCCACCTTGGACTTCGAGTTTGATCTCCTAGAGGAGTTGGAAGGAACGCTGCCGCTTCCTGCCCTCAGCTGGCTCAGATGAGGACCCCGAGTTTCGGGCTTTTAGGGCATTTTGAGAGTGAAAAACCTCACATTTGGTGTGAGGCGTAATGTCTATATCTTCTTTAACATCAAGGCATCAAGAGGTCGAAAGAGGATAGGGCTTCGGGCCCTTGCGGGCTACTATATCGACCACAACCGCATGAACCAATTTTTAAAGCTCTAAGGTGTGGGGGCCCTGGAATTGGGGAAGAGGTCGAGAGGCGGCTTGGGGGAGATCTCGGCGAGTTTCAAGTTGAAGGTTTTGCACTTGAGAGGCTCAGGTTCAAGAGGAGTCTGAACTTGGAGGTTCATGGGTAGTTATTATAAGTGGGGTTATAAGTCCCCGAATATGGTAAGTATAGTTACACTACTTATAACCCCGCTTATAACTACCCATGAACCTTCAAGAAGAGCAATTCACTGCCAGGTTCTCAATTCGTTCAGCTTTTGCCAGATTGGCTTTCGATTCTCCCAATTTGATTCGCAACTTCTTCTTTCGCAAACTGCAACTCCAGGGACGTCGTCAATTTATGCAGCCAGGGACGTCCCACACCCTGCCGTGAGGGGTTGGCCTACAAACACAGTCGGGCTCACGTGATGTGTCTTCCAGTTTAGGCATGCTGTCTATGTTCGCACGAGGTGCATGTGAAACTCTAGACCCTGTTCTGAGCCCATAGAACTCGAAGCTCAGGAGAGACCGTAATCTGCATCTAGGGCGCAGCCCGAAGTCCAGTGCATCCACCTGCCCATCGATTGTGAGCGGGCTCGTGGGGGCTGGGTCTGCTGAAGCTTCACAGGGCACCAGAAGGGCATGCTCCGAGGGGATGAAACAACCGTATGGAAGACCGTCGGAAGGATCTGATATGCGGAAAATCATGCCCAGTTGCACGCCCAATTCTGGCCTACCTTCGAAGTTATCTGGCCTTAATATAGCTTCCGATCCTCCAGCCCGGCTCGCGCCTCAGAACTGAATGATGATATCGACTTTGTTTCCCACCTCAACACCCTGAACTTACGACTCTGGACTCCGCGTGATAACGTGCGCCATGATGCTCAGCGCCCTCCTCGTCATTATCTTCGTCATCAGAGGCGTGATGATGGTGCAGCAAAACTATAACTATAACAACTCCTGCTGCGGTACTGCATTATAAACTGATTAGCTGCAATACCAACAGCAGGAAGAATCGCATCACACTCACCAGAAAGGAACACTCACCGTAGTTGATAACCGAGAACCTGCATACACGAACATGTACTCTCATACCTCTTGTACATGCAGGGTAGTACCTGATATCTGTCGACATCTAACATAGGCGTCTCATTAATTGGAACACGGTTTTGTGGTATGCTATAGTATATAAATATCTATCATGATGAACCCTAGGGAATCATATATGGGTAACTCGAGATTCAACAAAAGAAACACAAGAAACCAGCCTCCGGCGCTCCTCCATCAGGCTCGTTGGACCTGAGCGACATGGTCTTCGAATCAGAGCTATGGGATTTAGGGGTCAATAGAGAAGCCTTGAATAGGTAGAATGGGGTTTTCGGGTACCAAAAACTGTAAGAAGACAATAAGGAACTCTTAAATGGTTTCGGTAAATATGTAGGCCGCGAGATTACTTCCCCTGCAGCGGCCTTAGCCCATCCGATGCACGCACGCACACGCAACTTCCTCTTGCTGACTGGCTGACTTACTTACCCACTTACTTGCCTACTAACTTTGCACCGATAAGCACATCTACCTGGCTTTGTCTCTGCTCGAGTACTGCGTCTCTCTGCTTGTTCAAGTTCGCGCCCATTTCGTAACGATCTTCGGAAGATGAACTCGATATCCTAATTGCAAAGAAGGTCCCGGGTCACCGGGCAGCTTCTCCGTGATCAACTTCAGGGTGTCTTGATCCACCTGCCAGATTCTTCAAACTCGGGGATTCGGGGGATCAAAGGGAAGACTCGGCTGTGCTAGGAGGCTTTAAACTTTACAGGATACAGGATTGACCTTCTTCTCAGCAAAAATCAGCAAAAGCTCCAGACCTTTGTCCTAGCCGACAATCATACGAGAGAGATCCCGATATAGTTCCTTGGCCTTCGATCCGCTTCGATGGGTTTGCTTCTCAAAGCAACTTGGAAAACCTCACAAAACCTGCCACCCATTCGGAACCTCTAAACCCTAAACCTCTTGACTGCGGGCCTGCTCCACGGCCGGGAAGGTACCAGGCTCCACGTCCTCAGCCGAGCTCGCTCTCCACTTCGGGGTGGGGCGCCAAGGGGGTACGATGACCCAAGTTTGGGGTTCACGGTTTGGAGTTGAAGTTCATCGTCATGTCTCTTCCATCTTCTGGGCTTCCACGCATCATCTTCGACGAAGGGCCGGATGCGGCAAATGACCTTCACACCACCTCGAACTGCCTCCGCCAGCGATACGAGGCTTTGCGGGTGTCTCTGTTCCGTTTATAGCTCTGTCTCTCCCCCTCTCGCACTCTCTCCGTCTCTCTTGCTCGTTGGCCGGCCTGAAGAGAGTGCCATGCACTGTCTCTCGAAATCCACTCATCTATCCGTTTATCCCTTTATCCTTTGATCCTTTTCTCACTCCCCATCCAGGCCAAGATCAGCCGCCCAGACAAGCCAATCCAAGCCACCCATCTTTTGGGCATTCTATTTAACTTCACATAGACCAGCACATACATACACAAGTATATATCTATATATATATATATGTCATATCATATATATATACACATACATACATACATATATATATATATATATATGTATATATTAATCTACACACATTCGGACATGTTTGCATGCATGCATACATACATACAGGTGCACCTGAGAATCTATGCGTGCACGCGTTGGTCGGATCCAACACACGTTCACTTGCGTGTGCACGTACATGCAATTACAACGTGCAGGCACTGATATGCCTGAAGAACTTACTAAACCCAAAACCCTAAACCATAGATATAGAAGATCCTACCGGCCATTGTCCAGGCCCGCATTTGAAGGGCCTCAAGGGAATGGCACCTCTATCAGTTCGGGCAAGACTTACGGCTTAGGGATGCTTGGGATCCTTGTGGGCTTCATCAGGCGTTAAAGACTCCAGTAGCTACGCTAAACCCGGAGAGTCTTTCCTATGTACATCTAACATCTATCTCTCTCTCTCTCTCTGTCGATCCCTCGATCTCTCGATCTCTCTATCTACCTATCTGTCTGTCTGTCTGTCTCTGTCTGTCTCTGTCTGTCTCTGTCTGTCTCTGTCTGTCTCTGTCTGTCTGTGTCTGTCTGTGTCTGTCTGTGTCTGTCTGTGTGTGTCTGT